AATCAAAGCTCCAGAAGGCGTCTGTGGATCCGGCTGTGATGAGATCTGGACTCTGGAAGAACATTCAGGATCAGAACTGCAGTGGCTTTGGATCAGAAGCAGAGAGAGCAGAGACAGCAGCAGATCACTCACCTTTCCATCGTGACTGGAAACTCCTGCAGAACAAACACACCATTGATCATCAAGAACTCAATCAATCATCAATCAATCAATCAATGGATGATCTGAAATCAGACCTTCAGAAAGCAGACGTCACTGGCTTTCATCATCTCCTCCGTGTCTTTGATTGTGTGTGAAAGAGCTGAGATGTGTCTGTTCATCTCCTCCAGCTTCTCCTTCATCATCTGCTTCTTCTGCTCCTCTTCCTCTCTCAGTGCAGTGATTGTAGCTTCTTCTTCATCTCTGAGAAACTGATGAAGCTTCTCAAACTGCTGTTTAATCTGACGCTCTGTGTGCTCAGCTTGAGACTGAAATTAAATCACAAATTTACAGAAATAATCAACTGGAATCCATTATATTAAATATAACAACTCATAATTGTGTTTAATGATCCTACAGCTGTACTGAAAATGACTCTTGATTGTGTTTCCTCACCTTGATGTGTTGAACTGTTTCCTCAAACTCTTCTTTCATGTTTTCATTGTGTTGAAGGTTCTCCTGTAAGGACTCCAGTGCTGTATTGAGCTCCTCCTAGAATTGAATAAAAATAAAAATATATAAAACACCAGATTACAGTAAAGAGAAGAGAATGCTGTGATCATACAGTGCTCTTTGTGTGTGTGTGTGTAATATCTCACACTAAATTGATTCAGAAATTAAAACTTAACATAAAGCAAAAGCAACTTGAGTAAATAGGCAAGGCAAGGCAAGGCAAGTTTATTTGTATAGCACATTTCATACACAATGGTAATTCAAAGTGCTTTACATAAAATAAAATAAAAACAATAATCACAACAATAAAACAAGGAATTTAAAAACTTTGAAAATGATTTAAAAAAAATTGATTTAAGAGATTTAAAATGAATTTAAGAAAACGATTATACATATAATATAGTGCAATCAGTTCGGACATCGCACAGTGCTCATTCAATAAATGCACAGCTAAACAGATGAGTTTTGAGTCTGCATTTAAATGTGACTAATGTTTTAGCACATCTGATCTCTTCTGGAAGCTGATTCCAGCTGCGGGTGGCATAATAACTAAAAGCACATTCCCCTTGTTTTGTGTGAACCCTTGGTATTTCTAACTGACTCGATCCTAATGATCTGAGTGCTCTGCTAGGTTTATATTCAGTGAGCATATCTGCAGTGTATTTAGGTCCTAGGCCATTGAGTGATTTATAAACGAGTAAAAGAACTTTAAAATCAATCCTAAATATAACTGGAAGCCAGTGTAAGGACCCGAGGACTGGTGTAATATGCTCAGATTTTCTGGTTCTAGTCAGAATTCTGGCAGCAGCGTTCTGGATGAGCTGCAGCTGTCTAATGGTCTTCTTGGGAAGGCCGGTGAGGAGACCATTACAATAGTCCACCCTGCTGGTGATAAAGGCATGAACAAGTTTCTCCAAGTCTTGACTGGAAACAAAACCTCTAATTCTTGCAATGTTTTTGAGATGATAGTATGCTGATTTAGTTACAGCTTTGACATGACTACTGAAACTAAGGTCTGTCTCCAGAATCACACCAAGATTCCTGACTTGATTTTTAGTTGTTAGACCCCTAGAGTCAAGGTATGCATTCACCTTGAGAACTTCATCTTTGTTTCCAAATGCAATGACTTCGGTTTTTTCTTTGTTTAACTGAAGAAAGTTCTCGCACATCCAACTGTTAATTTCATCAATGCATTGGCAGAGGGAGTCAATGGGGCTGTAGTCATTTGGAGATAAGGCTAGGTAAATCTGGGTATCATCTGCATAGCTGTGATAGGCAATTTGGTTCTTTCTCATTATTTGACTTAGTGGGAGCATATACAGGCTAAACAAGAGCGGTGCAAGAATTGAGCCTTGTGGGACTCCGCATGTCATGGACATCCACTTAGACTTATGCTCTCCTATACTCACATAATAACCTCTCCCTTCTAAGTATGACCTGAACCATTTAATTACCATGCCAGAAAGCCCAACCAAGTTTTCCAGTCTCTCTAGTAGTATGTTATGATCGACAGTATCAAACGCAGCACTGAGATCTAGTAGTACCAGCACTGATATTTTGCCAGATTCAGAATTTAAGCGAATATCATTTATTATCTTAATGAGTGCTGTCTCTGTGCTGTGATGCGGTCGAAAACCAGATTGAAAATTGTCCAGGTATCCATTTGAGTTTAAGTATTTGTTCAGCTGATTAAAGACTACCTTTTCAATAATCTTTCCTATAAAAGGAAGATTTGATATTGGTCTATAGTTGCTCAATATGGTGTTATCAAGATTTCTCTTTTTCAGAAGGGGTTTAACAACTGCAGTTTTCAGGGAGTTTGGAAAAGTCCCAGAAAGAAGTGAGGCGTTCACCACTTCTAAGAGATCTGCTTCCAAACAGTTAAGCACCCTTTTGAAAAAATATGTGGGAAGTGTGTCAAGATAGCATGTTGACGATTTAAGGTGCTGTACTATTTCTTCCAAAATTTTGCTATCAATTTCTTCAAAAGCAGACATAGTATCTTCTTTTTGATATTGTGACGACCGGAAGCAACGGAAGCACTCGACTGTGGCATAATAAAAGCCCCGCTGCTTTACCCCACATACGCACGACCGGGAGCAGCGGAAGCGCTCGACTGTGGCATAATAAAAGCCCCGCTGCTTTACCCCACATACGCACGACCGGAAGCAGCGGAAGCGCTCGACTGTGGCATAATAAAAGCTCCGCTGCTTTACCCCAAATACGCACGACCCGAAGCAGCGGAAGCGCTCGACTGTGGCATAATAAAAGCTCCGCTGCTTTCCAGCCGTGTGTCATGCTCGTTCAGTGCCTCGTTTCGCTTCGTCGGCTTTCAGCCTCACCCTGCTTCATTCTACTACGTTAATAAATCATTAGCTCATCCATGAACATGATTTCTGCCCGACTCTCGTCGGATTGCATCGGCTGTGGGGATGAAGACCACAACTCAAATGATTCCACACTCAGTCAGAGCGTCATCAAACTACACCTTTGTTTCTTTGTTTATTTTGAATACGCGCCCTCTAGCGGCAAAAGTTACATAGTGTGCCTTTAACAGCTGTCAACCCCGTCGGTACGCAACCGCGCGTTCAGAACTAATTTACACAGCACATTTCTTATTTTGGTTGTGCATGCGGACCTGAGTATATGTCATATGAAGTTGAATAACATGACAGAGACCTATACCTACCTTATATGATGAAACCACTTCACTTATTGGTCTGAATTTGTGATTGTCGTGTTGTTCTGAAGTAAAGCACACTACACATGCAGGCTGTTTGTCCTCCAGACAGAAGAGTTTGAGTTTCTCACTGTGTAAACTGCAGATCTCCTCAGATCCTGATGAACGCCTCTCATTTCTCTCCGTCAGGAACGACTCACACAAGTTTTTTAACACCAGATTAATTGGAGGTTGAGCATTGGAGGATCTTCTCCTGCAGACAGGACACTCCTGAGTTTTCTTGGTTCTCCAGAACTGTTGAAGACACTCTTTACAGACACTGTGACTACATGAGAGAAAAACAGGAGCCTTGAAGATTTCACAGCACACGGGACAATTATAGTCATATTCATCTGATGAAGCCATTTTCACTGTTTGAGCTCCAACTACCTAAACTTTACTTTCACTTTCTAAATGACAGTTTAAAAAATAAATAACCACGAGAATCACAAAAATGCTTCTTCAAAGTCTTTCTCTTCGTTGTTCGCTGATGGCTGATTCTTGTTTGCTTTTGTCAAAGAGAAGAGAATCAGTGACAGAAAGGAGAAATAACAAGTCAGGCTCTTCCTGGTAAGTGTTGTAATAGGGTGGAGTTTCTGATCAGTTTTGGGTGTGTTTAACCCTTTAACATTCAACCCTAAAAGAAGCCAACTATTATTATAATTTTTTTTTTAATTTTGATTTAATTTTATTTAATTTAATTTTATTTTATTTTAATTATTTAAAATTCTTATTATTGGACACATAAAAATGATCTCAAGATGTTTTTTTTGAATGTATGTTTTTATCTAAACTATATAAAACTCTACTGTACGTTTGAGATGTCTGTTTATAGTAACACTTGCTTTACATGTGCAGTACTGTTTCATGCTTTTTATTTATTTATTTATTTATTTTTTGAATAATAAACATACCTGCAACATTGTTAGTAGGTCTTAGATAACCTCCTTAATTATCAGGGTCAACATGAAATTACATTTATTAAAAAGGAGTGTTTAGAAATAAACAATACATATACAGTATATTGGTACATTGTAGTCAATATAATGTCCATTTCAGTTCATTCCTATCATTTTTGATAAATTCAGCTAATTTCAGCTAAATTCAGTTAATTCAGCAATTAAAGACATTTTACGCAATATGGACATTTTTTATAACCGTAATATTGCAAGCTTTATAAAATATCTTAGTCAATGTATCCTCCATGAATTATATTTTAGTCATTTTACTTGATATACTGGATGTTGAAACCAGAATGTGTCTACATTATAAGAAGAACTTAGTTTGTGACCAATAAAAAAGTATATGTCCTATAACAGTGTGGATTCAATCCTGACATGCTGCTTCTGTCATGTTGGCATTTTCATGTGACCTACAATGTAACTTGTTTTGTTTGCACGTCATTTATGAATCCTCTCCCGAGGCCTCATGGGATAGTAAATTGTCCTTTGTATGCATAGTATGCAAAATATTGCAGGTTGTCACAAATTCAGCCTCTGCACCAGAGGGAACCATCACCGGAGTACTAATATCCCCTCGGACTCCAATTCCCACTGTAGCATTTGGACCAATCAGACACACAACTTTTTGTTATATTTAACAAATAATATCTAACTCCCCCTCACTTAACCAAATGGCCAATTACGAGGGTCTATGGACCCTTCCCCCGAAATGCACCTAACACCTCAGAAAGGCAGAACAGGCCTCTGGTTCCATGGTAACCAATGCTGATATCACTGGTTTTATGGCCTAAAAGGAATGCAGGGGATAAACTCCCTCATTTTCCTCATAAGAAAGACACACAATGCCCAGAGAAATGGACTGTTCTCTAATTAATTCATAGGAAAACCTTTTCTTTGAATGAACACACATTTTCTTCAGGCCATTGGGTATATTATTGCTGTGTTGTATTTAATCTGTTGTATTATAGACTATTTTTATTCATGCTTACGATAAACCACTCATTCATATAAGTAACTATTTCATGTCTAGTATCTATGAATTCGCCTTCTTATGATCGAAACAAGCGTGTATATTATATGCTGATACCTATGCAACATATTGATGTTCTAAGAATCGGTACTAATTTGTGCCTCAACACTCCAGCGAATTACATATGCAAAATACCATGCTTACAGACAAAGAGTCATAAAAATCCCTAGTATTTCCAACCTCCCGCTTGGGATTTCAGCCTTCCTCATTGGACAAACCCATCTTGAGAGGCGTGAATCTCTGCAGGCTTTAAAAGGCCACACTCCATGTGACCCGCCCAGTCGGTGGTTCGGTCAGAAGCTAAGAAAATGTGAGAAAACGCTTCAGGATACCAAAGCATTTGTGCCAGGCCTTTCTTCGGCCTAGTCCTTTCCATTCATCAAGTGACTCTGACTCAAACTGGTTCTTTTCATCGACCCGAATTCAGCAAAGATCAACGGGAAGCCTTAAGATTGCATCCGGAATCCTTTTCAGACATACTCGCAAGTATCAAACTTAGTCGATTTTAATTGATGCATTAAGTATCAGTTACACCTTTTTACAAGGTTTGTTTGAACTAAGAATCTGACGTTTGCCCTCAGGTTTTAGATCTGTTGAATATGCAGTGTTCCATAAAATTCATTCTTTATGCCTCTTTTTATG